GGGGCTGATGCAAGTAGCTTTAGAATAGAAATGAGTTCTGAGGACCCATTTCCTCTGTCTAGTCACATCTCACAACAACAACTACAACATTGGAGACTTAAGACCAAATTTTTCGTACTACATTCAAATATTACGTTCAAATGTTCGAATATTCAAGCATTCGATGGCCTATATCCAGTCTTCTATCGGCGCTTTTATTCAATATTCGAAATTTTCAATTTTTGAATTATTCGGAATCGAGTATACAGCCATAGGTCGAGTAAGCGAATAATTCGAAAATTGGAACTCCCGATTCCTTTTGGATTATTCGCAAATTTCGAATTCGGATATTCAAATAATTGAAATCAAAAGATCCTGAAAGCCAAATAATCGGATTTTCGAGTGGTTCGACTTCGAATGTTTTATTCGATTGATCAAATAATTTTTCGATCGTTCCAGTGTATTATATCCCCCATGTTCCTGCCAAGCTTTCAAGCGAAGTCGTTGATCATACTAATTTCTGACTCAGACACGCCTGTACTTTTCATCAGAGTCATTAAGAACCCCTCGGTTCTTCTTAAATATAATTTTTATCCCAATTTTGGAAAAATCATTCTGCACATTCCGTCGAATTGGATACTACGTTCTATTTGGCTAACATTTGGGATTGTTGCCTTGATACCGTCTGCGAAATGAAGATGGCACAGTTGGTGGCCATCATCTTTCTCTTTCATGTCGCCCCATTCCGATGTTCGATAACAGTGTGGTATTGAAGGGTTTCTGCGCAGTTCCAATTGCTATACAAGAACTTTGCACTAATTGTTTATTTGCAAAAGTGTAGCATGTTCACATTCAGCACACCAAATTCCTTTGTGGAAGGAGAAAAAAATCTAAGATGACACCATAGTGATATCTTTGGTGTAACTAACGCCTCACTCTTCAAAATAATGCCAAGGATTCTTAACAAGCAATTTCTTACACGGAAATTCTCCAATGCGGTAAAGGAACGATCTGTTAAGTATAAAAATACTTTTTCAACGGAAAATTGGTATGTAAGTTCAAACTAATTTTTCAAAGGCTCGCCAGCATTCTCGGTGCCCATTCGATCTCAGTGAAAGTTCAGTTGATCTAGAACCCCTATATTGCTATCTTGCACGGTTCACTCAATGTAATAATTAGCAAATTCTTTGTTGGCAGCACTCCATATAATTTTGATCAACACTCCAGCATTTACAGTAACTAATACAAACTGCTAGAAAGATATCATTGCATCGAAATTAAGGCTTTGTACGAATATTAGCATCTTTGAGAAATCAACGACATTTGGCAAGTAATTCGAGACTATCAAATGATACAAAAAAATTGGGAGGGATGGGGCATTTAGATGAGTTTTTCGATGGTTGCTTGGTGCTCATCCGGCTCATACCGTAATCCGTTATAGAGCCTAAATAGGGCGGAATTGACTTCGGTCACGTAGTTGCAATATTCTCTAAATTAAGTCAAAGTTACCTGTAGAAGCAGTCATGACAGTAGGGTTTTCTATCGTGCTCTCTGAACGTTCCATGCATGTTCAGTGCCTAAACAACTCAGAGTGAAGAAGAAAATCGATGAACCGATAGATTATTTGAAACTACAAACCTTTTGACAATAACAGCACATAAAATGGTAGGTATGGAACTTCTGCGCCCGTTCTGAGTTTGGCGCTAGAGCCGTCAAAATAGGTCCATCAATTTCTTCGTTACAGTAAGCGCAGACCACTGGTGCCATTGGCGGTGGCGAGCCCTGTAGCGAAAGCTATGAAGCGCTTTTTAGAGTAATCGATTATTGATTGCCTCGATCTGCAGAGTTCTCCTTGGAGTTTCTGAACGTGCACGAGTACGACGAAGGCTATTCGTTTGACTTTCGCTCATTGCCATGCCATAGTCTCGTGAAACCTCGTCTACGGTAAACTTCTCATCAGGAACTAAATTTTGATATAGACCAGGTAACATGGAAAATATGAGATAGTTGTAAGAAATCAGATGTAGAAAAGCTTGCAAAACCTAAACCGACTTTTGAAGAAAACTCACTATTATCACGCTTTCGTGGAGCTGGGAATGGACGTTCATCCTCTGGTGCTGGTGTGAGGCGTAAACGATATTCAATTTCCTAAAAATTAACCAGAAGTGTTAAAATAAAATTTTTATCTGCGACCGTAATGGTCATGAAGTAAGCATATGGTGGGTGCAGCCTTAGTCATCAAATCAAGGACCACCCATTTTGAGACAGAAGCTATACATTCGTTAAATCTTACGTTTTGACAATTTACGAGCATTTCACAGGATTTGATGTGTGGTGTGCATATTCACCGTATGCACACTAAACATTCAAACTGTGTCTGTTCAAACCTCTTTCTGTTGGCTCTTTCTTCCACCCCTATCCTTTCCTTGTCCACCTCGTCTCAGCACTTCAGCGGTTGCGTTCACATCGTAGACGAGTGCTGCCAAAGTGTCTGTCACAGCATTTTGTCCTAGAAATTCATGGGTTTAACTTGAGCATGCATTAACCATGAAGCAAACACTCAAATGTTCTTAACTCACGTTGGTCGTCCTTGATTTTTCCTAGTTCCTTATTCATATCTTCGGTAGAGACGGCCTGTAAT